ACCATCATGGGGTTGCCATCTAAGGAATAAAATTATTACAAGTTTGAGTACTAATAATATATATTAGTTATTAAAATATTAAATTTATTTCATTTTGTTCATTGTGAAAAAAGTTATTAAAAAATTATATAATTTTTGAATAAATTTGTGCTGTTTATTAAATAAAAATAATATTATATTAAATAAATTATAGTTTGTCGTATTTCCTAAAGTAAAAGTTGTTACTTAGTTGTTTTTCTGACTACATGTAAAATAGATTAGATTTTGAGATGTTTAACGTAAATTAGTATTATGAAATTTAATGCTTTCTATCTTTTATTACAGAAATTATATGGATCAGTGACGACGCGTACCCTATCTGGAAGGGTGTGCGGGCCTTCTACAATATTGTTTTAACATGTGGTACATTAAATTAACATTAAATTAAAAATGATAAATTGAAATATATGAGATGTTTTATTAATAATAACTACATTACATTAGGCGAGAATATATTCACAATATAACATTTAACAATTCATTAACAAAATAACACATTAAATAAATTGAATTAATAATATATGTATATATAAGTTGAATATTATGTTAATATGGAATAAACACAACTTTTCACATACTTCTTATAACATCAAACCGACTTCATACAAAATGCGTAATCAACTAACGACAGAAATTTGGGAATGCAATTGCTTAAAGGAGAAAGACGAAATATAATAGAAACGTTCTGCAATTTGAGCAGCAAACATATGAGCACGACTAACAACTATAGCAACTAAGAGAAGCAAATTGATTGAGTTTTCATAAACAATTATATTTAATTGTTTTTGCTAAAACTTTAATTTTTATAAATATATATATGGAAATGTTATAAATAATATTAATTCTTGATGTAAAGATATTTAATAAATTTATATATATTATTTGACATTTTGCAAATTATGTTAGGGTGTGTGCCGCACACCTCTGCACCTCATAACAGTCGTCACTGATATGTATGCATATCTGAACTTAACCACCTTCCTTGACCACAATACCAGGTTGAAGATTAAGCTCAACCTAAACCAGATCTCTGCTATAGTTCTTCTAGGCCAAAAGCCAGATTGCACCAGAGTCTTTAATTACTGTTTTTAATGCCTCACTAATTAAACTAGAGCTCGACAATACCCCTAATCAGCTAGTGGGCACAATAAAATATCTTGGCGGTGTGTTACTTCCCCGGCACAACTTTATCCCCCACGTTGATATGCCATCCGCAATGCTCGGTTAAGGCATGTGCAACTAAAAAAAGTTCTTCGTAGACACAACCAGCTTAAATACATCTAACAAATAAATACATCTCAATCGTCTTTTCCATTTAGTCTGCAATCACCTCCGCCCAAAAGAAAAGGATTCGTCTCTTCGAGCGCAAGCTCCTACGTGATTACGCAAACTACAAGCGCAAGCCAGCCGGCAAGTATTTTTCCAACACTGATTACACAACCTTCTCCCGACGACTCTACCCTTATCACCCTCCCTAGAGATCTCGTCCAAGCCATATGCTTCAAACTTCCCAATACCTCACGCCATACTTCTGTAAGCGGGATTCGGATGTCTCCATCATCCTACTCTATAACCGTAACACTTTTGACCCCGGATACAGATTCTATCAATAGTCCACTCCCGTGCTTGCGCAATAACCCTTTTCCCTTCACATGCTCCCTATCTACCTACACCAAGTCCATGCTTTCTGGCTTATATAAACTTAGTCCACTAGGTATTAACCCTCTTGGTCATAACTCTCTCCCTGATTAATGGAATGAAGTTTTTATATTGCTGCGGAAATCTTCTCCTCTCATTCCTAAAAAGTGGTTTTAGTGGGTCCAAGTCTTCAAGTGGGTCCATTGTGGCTTTTTATGCTTTTTACCTACTGGAAAAAAAAAACATCATGCATTCGCGTTCGGTCGACAAGTTGAGAGATCCACCGGTTTTTATATATAAATAAAATTCAAATAAGAAATAGAAGTATTCACTCTATCTTCCAAAATTATTGCAATGTGCACGAAAACCAAGTATGCAGGAACACCACTGTTGCAGTATTGCAACATCAAAATGAAACAACTATTTTTGCAGCATATCACATCCACATAAGAAGCAGTAAATGTCAACACAGCTGTTTTTTTTTCCTTTTTTGTTTCGTTGCAAGCATATGTACATGAGTTTAAGAATAGCAAGATTACAAGTCACTGCAAGAGGTCATTGTATTCTACTCCATACACTATTTAATATCAACTGATACCACGTTTTCACTGCAAAATCAACTGCAATCAACAATTAATTGTTCACAATAAACAAGCAATAAGTACATATAGAAAACGCCGTGCAATGCATCGAAAAAATTGTATGATTATTAAAAAAAACAACTGCCATCGCTTTCGCCAACAATTTTGAAAAAAAAATTAAGGAATGGCTTTTAGTATGGGTATTAAGTATTATTAAATAAATTGTAAAATTTGCAATTCATGCTATTTTACAAAATATATATACTCATTTAATTCATAAAAAACAAATATTTTAAAAAATCCACATTTCTAACTTGTCTGTTTTGTTTTTATTTACATTTTGCCTAAATTTTGGATAATTTCCCTTTCGGGAAGAATATTTTGCGATGTTAAATTCGGTATTTTTGGTATAAGTTCATTTAATTTATTTTTAACTAAATTTTTGCTTTCAATGCAAATTAAAAAACAGAGTGAGAGAAAAATAACAAATGTCGGTTTGTGCTAGTCACTCAGTTAAAGTCATGTTGTGTGTATTATATGAATATATATATTTTCTTTAAATATATATACACCCAAATATATTGGCACAACCAATAAGTACAAAAGATATAGTAATAATACAAAATTGACAAATTTATGTAACATAACACTTCACACAACATGCATTTTCGTCATAGTCCGAAAAATCAAATTTTGACGTGCCCGTAACACTCTGCGTAACATGGGCCTTAATCAACTTGATTAGCGACGTAAATCAAATAAACTGCCATAATTACTAAGGCTATTATCTATATGTCACCTCACTTGTCTATTAGCGTGTATTTATTGTACCATCAAAAAAAAAATTTAATTTAAATTTGGCGGTGTAAAAAATATTTGGTTTTTAATATTTATTTTATATAGGGACCACTCAAAAAAAAAACCCAAAGGCAAATTTTTGAGTAAATGACAGGGCGTAACATCTCTGTCGAAATTTAAAAAATTTACACTGACTTCACTCCTACATTTTATTTCAAGTAAAATTTGTGTTGATGTGTGAATCAGCTGTTTTGGTTTGAATTTAAATTTTTGTATTGTTTAGTCTCACCAGACTTCAATAAACTGCGTAATTTGGCAGTTTATTTGTGTTACGCTCTCAGTTTGTACTTTACTTGTATTTTACTATGAGTAACAGTTGAAATAGACCTATTATTTAATATAATTAGATATTATATTAGTCCATTTAGTATGAACAGAAACACACAAATTTTTTTATGTATATAGAATTATAGTAGTTCTAGTAAATATATTTTATAAATTCTTAATTTGTGCTACAACTATTTTAGTTTTTCATAAAAAATACACGAATCATTTGTCAAAATTTCATTGACAGATTGCAGCAGTGATGCAAATATTGCTGTGATGTTTTTAAATTACGCAAAATTGTTTTTAAAGTACTTTCGTAATTTATTCTGAAGTCTATTAATTACACGCGACTAATGATAATTATATGTGTAGTAAAAACATATTGACATATGTATGTATGTGTCAGTACATTGAAAAAATTGTATTGATAATTTAAGACATATATTTATGTAAAATAGTGCCACATCTATAAAAGACGGGTTTGTAACATGTACTTTTGAAATTGCTTGAATTTCAATTACTTTGTGTTGTCTGGCGTAGTGGTGTACTGTTTTTGATTATTTGGCGTCTTGTCGATCGGTTTTACTTTGTGTTTGTACAAACTTGTTTGAATAATTAGTTTTGTTGATAATCCGCATGTGGTAAATAAGTTATATTGTGCGAAAAACTGATTTCTTTATACTAATTTAATTACTAATAATAACTTACTAAAGCCGCAACTAAGCCAACCATTGCAATCGTTCGATTTCTTTCATACTTTCGTGCTCATTTAACAAATCAAATTTCACCTACCTGAACTCTGTTGGCAATATTACACATAAAGTTGTGCTGTGTTTGTACAAATTGTAAGGTTCAGAAATATTAAAATTTAGTGGTAAAATAAGTGAAAAACGTTTTTTATTGGAAAATATTTAAAACACATGAAATAAAAATATATTTTTATTTAATTTATTAAAATTTATATATCATTGTATAAGGCAATTTTAATATATTAAATTTTAAATGTGTAATTACTATTCATATTAATATACATGATTCACATATGATTTTTAAAATCTAATTTAAAATAATTTTGCAAGACTGTTTACAATAAAGAGGAATCTAATTTAAAATCGTATACAAAAATATGCAATTGCTTTGTTACTTATTGACAAATTCACGCCAAGAGTTCATATTATAAATATTTATAACTTTTGCAATATATTCTTGCTTGCAAAAAAGTACCAAACAAAGAAACGGAAAACTGCAAGGTTTGAAGAATCGAATTTAGAGGTCGTCTTGTTAAAACTGTTATATTGTTTTATTATTAATATCTTCGGAATTAACAATTTCGGAATTGAAGAAAATATTAATAGTATTTTATACATATCAAATGGTTTTAAGGAAATTTTGCTTCCTATAAGAATTTACATAAAATTACAATTTCAGTTAATTTCAATTTTTGTTTGTATAATTCCATTACAGTTGTGGTTTTTGTTTTTGTTGTTAGAAGAGTATTTGTGTGGTTCTTTAAAATATGTAATTTAAATGGCTAATAATCTTTTTTGTATTACTTAATTTTATCTCACTTGTGCCAATATTAATTCGTGTATGTATAAAAAATATCTACAATGTAAGTACTTTCCGAACGCATTACAATGCTTACTAGTTGTGACGTAAGGTGAGCTTGTGAAATTTGGTGGATTTTTCAGTTCAGAAAATGTCGACGCGAAAAGTTTTCGTTTATTAGTCAGACAAAAAAAATTTCACTCTATATAAATTTTTGTGTTAAAGAATAAAGTAATTATTTTGATATAAATAGACGAGAGTGTATGAAGCGATGGATAACAACGATCCAGAGTCTGCATACAGATTGGGACCTATGTCGCCTCAAGAAATAAAGCCAGACATATCGTTGCTTAATGATAATAATACAGGTGGTTTTTCTCCCAAACCAAACAGTCCGAGTCCCTTTGGATCCATTGGTTTACAGGCACTTAACATTGCTAATGTTGCAGTCGCGGCAGTGAGCAATCAAAATCAATTGCAGCAGCCACCTCAACATTATCCTCCTAATCATCCATTAAGTGGTTCAAAGCATTTGTGTTCGATATGTGGTGATCGTGCAAGTGGAAAACATTATGGCGTTTATAGTTGCGAGGGATGCAAAGGATTTTTTAAACGCACTGTCCGAAAAGATCTAATGTACGCGTGTCGTGAAGATAAAAACTGTATAATTGATAAACGACAACGGAATCGCTGCCAATATTGTCGTTATCAGAAGTGTCTTGCTTGTGGCATGAAAAGAGAAGCTGTACAGGAAGAACGGCAACGTGGCGCACGTGCACCGAATACCCGAGTTGTTGGCGAGGATTTTAATACGAGCTCTGTGCGAGATTTGACAATAGAACGTATAATTGAAGTTGAAAAAAAAAGTGAAGAAATGAGTGGAGACAATACTATTGCATTTCTTCGCGTTGGGACTAATTCAATGGTGCAATCAGCGTATAAAGGGGCTGTTTCACATCTTTGTCATTTTTTAAATAAGCAGCTATTTCAAATGATTGATTTTGCAAGAAGAATGCCATATTTTGCGCAGTTACAAAGAGATGATCAACTTCTCTTATTAAAGGCAGGCTGGAATGAACTTCTTATTGCGAATGTTGCTTGGTGCAGTATGGAATCTCTCGATGCTGAATATGCTACTCCTTGTATGAGTGATAATTTAGGACGTCGTTCGCCAATGCGACCCCCACAACAAATATTTCTCAACCAAAACTTTTCATATCATAGAAACAGTGCTATAAAAGCTGGTGTTGCAACTATATTCGATCGCATTTTATCTGAATTAAGTGTGAAAATGAAACGTCTGAATCTTGATCGATCTGAGTTATCATGTCTTAAAGCAATTATATTATTTAATCCCGATATAAGGGGATTAAAAAATAGAGCAGATGTGGAAGTAGTTCGTGAAAAAATATATGCATGTTTAGACGAGCACTGCCGTTCCGAGCATCCTGGTGATGACAGTCGATTTGCTCAGTTATTACTAAGATTGCCTGCTTTACGATCTATCAGCCTCAAATGTCTTGATCACTTATTTTTCTTCCGTATAATGAATGAGAAGCCATTAGAGCAACTTATAGCAGAGCAGTTAGATAATCCGCTATGTTAAAAGCTACATACATAATAATTAAATAGTTAACTAATGTATAATGTTTTTGAAGATTAATATTTGAAATCGAAGCTTTTTTAACCCATCACTTCATAGGATTTGTTTCGTAATTGGATTAAAAAAAAATTCCGCTTCATATATTATTTTAGTTTTATGATGAATATTAAGATTATATTCATAAAAATTTTGCATGTATTATAATGAATTATTTCAATATAAATCATAATTATATTAAATTAGATCTATTAACTTAAATATTCTGCTATAAATTATTTAGCTTAGATATCGCTCTTGCTCCCAGAACAAAACTGATAAAAATAAATCATATTATTAGAAATATATTTTCAAAAAATTTTCGGACGAAATATATTATGATATATGTTTATAGTTTCGGTTAGTCTTTTCTGTAATGATGAATTTTAATTTAATTTCAATTTCTTAATTATATCAAGAATTTGAAATTTTTTTTTATACCACAGAAAGATTTTCGTTTAGGAGATTTAAGATTTTTTCTGTTTCTTATGTCGAATGAATACCATCGGCATTCTATGTCACTCTTAGAAAACCTTTTCTATATGCAAAAAATTATATTTTGGATTTAATTGCATTATATGATTTAAAATTTATTTTTATATATTACGATTATTTATATATATGATTTTTGAAATTCCAATATATTATACAATATTTAATAATAATAAGTTCTTATAGTTAATAAGAATGTAAATATATTCAATTCCAATAAAAGTGTTAAAAGTGAACAGACCGTTAACACATAAATCTAGTGGAATACATTATTTTGCATTATATAATATTTGCATATATAAAATAACAATTAGTTAAAAAATGTGTAAAATATTCATTATAAAATATTTAAATTGTTATGAACTACATTATATATCTCTGTATTGTCTATTTTAAAAGTAGCATATCGAATATAATATATATATTTCAAAGTTATATTTATTTTTCATTATTATATCCCTTAAGATATTGTGAATAAATGATAAATTTAGTTTGTCAGTGTGTACAACGTAATTCAGACGGTATAAAACAACTTTTTTGTACTACGCCCACTTAAACCTTTCGAAGTCCTGTGCCCCACATAAGATATACGGGGAGCGTACGAAGACTGTAAGCATGGTCAAGTATTTATTATTATTCCGATAGCGAACGTTTTTTATTTTATATATTATTTATATAATAAGCACTTGATCGTTTTAGACTCAGTTTTTCTATTTTATTTATTAGTTTCTTGTCAATAAATAGTTAATTGAGTGTATCAATCGTGGATTGATAAGATGTAATTAGCTTCTGTGGTAGGCAATTAATTCAGAAACCTTGGGAACTTTTATTTTTGTTCGCTTTTACAACCAAATCTACATAAATAACTTATGATACCTATATAACCGGACGGGAATAGTGAATATTCATTAGCCGTTGAAATATATCTCTATTGGGATGTCCTGAACAAGTGCAGTTTCTGGGCTAAGTAAAAAATATTTTGAAAACGAATTTGTGAATAGGCACAGATGTAAGCATGGCATTACATCAGGAAGTTCTCATACCGAGGAAGTTTTCTAAATGTTTGGTAGATATTACTTTGTAGAGTTACTGTTATGTTGTAAAGGATATGGACGCTTATTAGGTGAAACATTTTTTCTTGCCCATATATGCATTTACATTGTATTCTTTTATAAGTTCAGTTCAGACTCGTATACACAGTAGAACTTTCATAATATTAAGCTTCCCATTGTCTCAAAGATATAAGCCATTAATTATTCAAATTATAAACCTTTTAGTAATGCGTATTAATGCTCAATGTCATGCGAAATCGACAACATGGAAGAAGAAAAGGCTAAATACTTTGCTAAGTTCTCAGAGTATGACAATATCAGTGGTAATAATGAATGGCTGAAAGTAGTAATGGATGGCTGTATTTATTCAAAATTTGAAACGATTTATTTCGTAGAATATATTGCGAAAGTGACAGCGTCAATTCAGTGACCTGAGATAGATATAAGAGTTGTCAACACTAATTAAAGAGCATAAACCTAATAACATAGGTTGTTGTCTCAAAATTAACCCTGAGAGTATGACATGGAATGGGAAGGAATAAAGCTTTGGAAATTAAAAATAAATAATCATAGATTTCTATAAAAACTGGCTCTTTCATATCGATGTAAACATAAGAAAACTGTAAAATACTCTTATTCATAGATTGCTGACCTCTTATAATATCGATGGATTACAATGGATTACAACAATTTTTGTCGCCAAAGTCTAAACTTTAAGACTACATGCGGAAAATCATAACAAATGTTATATAAAATGTTATTATGGTATAATAATATTCCAGTCAATACGATCGATAGTTAATTGTGAATGCATTAAAGAAATCTTATATTATGTTTTCATTGAATATGTCTTTAGAAATAATGGAATAGTGGAGAGTTTATTAGGTATAACAAAAAGCAAAACACTTAACATGAAAAAGTCAGACATTTCCTCATTTACTTAAAATTTAACAACTGTCAAAAAGTGTATATTGGTCAAACAAATGGAAGAAAGAAACTTCTTCCTTTAAAATTATTAACATCTTATATATTAAATCTTATATATTTTATTATTAAAAACATAATGATAGCATTTAGGCATGTACCTTTGTTACAGTGAATCCATCTAATTGCACAAAGATTTGATTAGCGTCCTATAAAATGGATGATGTTTTCCTTTCCGTGCATGTTACAGGAGCCAAGGCGGTGTTCAAACTTTGTGTTAAAAGTAGTAAAGTCTGTTCAATTCCGTTCTTTCCTTAAGTATTGGTGATATAGTCAAATTTGTCATTGAAATAGTTTCATTCATTTAAATTATACTTTAAGAGCTTATATACATTTAATTTATTGCTTCTTACTTCCTCTTCAAGTGGGGTTCTCGGGTTTATATGTACAAATTATTCTGAACAGTTCTGACAACGCACTAAACTGTGGCAGTAGGAAAAGTGTGGATAGTAAACTTAGCATTTCTTTGAGTCAATATTGTAATGTAATTTAAAAGAACTATGAATCAACTGATTTCTTTCAATAAATAATAGAATTTATTTCTAATTTTTAACTTCAGTAACTAACAAAACTAGTTGCTACTAGCTGGCTTTTTATAGTAATATACTGCCAATCAGAGGCGAGGCGTCGAATGGTTCAGAGTGTTCACTGAACACCTTAACAAAGCTTCCTTTTTAGATTTTTTTTTATTAGGTAAAAAATCTCGCTATATTGCTACTTAACATTTTTTATAATAGCTTTTCCAAACAGATTAACATAAACACAAAACGTAGAATACAAACAAAATCACACATGTGTTAGTTACACCCAACATTACTTACAATTAATAAAAGAGAAAACACATTCCTCTTAAAATATACTAAGGTTCAAAATTAAAACTGCACCGCGTTGCTTACAAAGCATGCAAATGAAATAACATTCACATTGGGACTATGTTCAATATTGAATATACAACACAAAACATACAAACAAATATATGTACGTAAAATAATCTTAACTCTTAAATTAATGCGTGCAAGCAGTTCAATAAAAAAAGTGCACTTCCAATGTTATGCAAAGTAAATACAAAAGAGAAAAGAAATAACTGAGCGAAAATCGCTTTACATTTGACGAGAGGATCATTCCACTAAACTGAACCAAAAGTTTATACAAAGCGTGCAAATACAATCAAAGTCACGGTTGCTGTTTTATATGGGGAAATGGTTCAGTATAAAAACTGAACCGGGCATTGTAAATACAAAGTAAAAGAGTAAATGAATGCATGAGAGTTTCTTACTCTTACATATATAGAGGTTGGAAATAAATCAATAACAAAGTCATTATTGCAATTTAATACTAGCAAATGCTAAAAGTAAAGAAAAAAATTAAAGAAATTTGAAGTGAAAAATAATATTTAGAAATGAATTAATGATTAAAGATTTGATTCAAATATCTTTTTTTAAACGATCTTCTGAAAAAAAGATTTTAATTCATAAAATGAATAAACCAACTCCAGATATGAAGAATTTGATACCTGTTATAAAAATGTCGAAATCTATGGTAAGTCGTCGTTTTCCTACAGCTATAGCTTTATGGTAAATAAAAACCAGTGGATCACAGGCTGCGAACATTTAAATAAATTGTTTTATTGGTCTTGTACGCTATTTGCTTGTGGAAAGGACAAAACTTAGAAGTAGGGGCAATACGTTATAGTTGGAATTCTGTTTTGATTAAATTGTGAACACCTTGCCAAAAAGCTGACGCCTCGCTACTGCTGCCAATATTTTTCTTAAATTTTTTGTACTTAATTAAGGTAGCTCTTCACAAAGTAATTGAAGGATAATAATTTTTATATCGTAGTACCATTCGAACTTCTGTAGCATTATCTATGAATGATGTTAAGATGTGGACTGTTTAGAAAGGACGGAGATCCTTGATTATTTATTGAATATTTTTTTCACATTCTCTTGGAAAATTTGCAATATTGTATGTTTCTAATTTCTTATTATCGTCAGGTAGTTTTGAGATATAAGATTGCATAAACACCAACGATCGTAGCTGATTTTTGCTTGCATGCTGTATGCTGTACATATTTTATGTAATCTGTATTGGGTTCAAATTCAGGAATGGAAAATAATTATTTAAAGTGATTATATAAAAAAACATGATAAAAAATTATTGTAACTTCTATTGTCATAAAACTTATGCTCTCAACTCTTTATAATTTTCTAGTTTTTTTTAAAAACAAATACTATGGCAGAATAGGTAAAACCTTCATATCAGAATGATATTACATATTACACTCTAAACACACAAAAATGTGTATATTTTTCTATTAATATTTTAATATAAATATAATTTTTTAACAATTCCCAAAAAAACACAAAAGAAGGTTAATAAATATGAGGATGAGGATAAAGAGGTTTTAAAAAAAACTACAGTTTTACAATTTTAGTTTGCATTAATTTTTGTTAGATTATTGTGTAAGCAATTGAGGTCTGTCTTGTGATAAATTATAATACCATGAATTTGTGGTGAATTAATTAATACGTTTAGGCTTACCAATGCTTACACAAACATAATATCGCTATTTTATTCTATTATCCAAGTGTTATGAGATTTCGATAGTACATCTGTGAAGGATCTACGTTATCAACGCAGTTAATGTTGGTAAATGGACTTACTATAAATGTCTATTCTCGGCATTTGATATTTTTTGTTAACTTTGAATTAAATCTAATATGTTTTTGAAGAACAGCTTTTAAAGTAGCAAGTTTCAACATGTTTTGTAGACAAGGCATGTAGGAAAGGCATGTAGGAAAGGCATGTAGGAAAGGCATGTAGGAACCTATTTCGAAAAATAACGAGATACAAGTTTTATTAGTGTGTAAGTTTGTTTGTTTTCATCATTCTGTTATAAAGAATATCATAATAATTACATAAAAGACACATATGTATATCACAATATTAATACAGAGTTATATGTTTTTTATTTATTTTCAATAGTACTTATTCCTGTTTAATTTCTTTTTTA